TAATTATATTTTAGATTTTTTATATTTAAAATGAGATGTTTATCCTGTATTTGATTGTGTTTATCTGCAGTTAGTTACATGAATTCAGATATGAAATAAAATCGGATATGGATGAAATCTTTTAGGGCTGAACGAGTTTAAGAGTTTTAACCAAATGCTTTATAAAATAGTATAGATATAAATAAATCATCTTTGTTTTTTATAAACGAAATGTTAAAATATTAATGAATAATGTATAAGGTAAAAGACCCTTTTAAGCTGATGTCAATCAAGCACTTTCCTTTTCAGTAGATGTACAACTTCAGCTTCTTTTAAGTTTCCTTTTCAGGGTAAAAGTACAACCCATGTCAGCACGGTTTTTCCCTTTCTTTAATAAATCTATATCTTTTAAAACATTATTTATTAAAAAAATATATTTCAAAACAAATGTTTTTAATATTTTTTAAAACTTTATTGCATACTCCTACGAAATTCCATAAAATACCGAGCATCCCCCTAAGGATTTCAAAATCTTATGTTTGTAGGATTTCAATTAAATCCTTGGATTTTAAATCCGGACAATCCAACAAACCAAAACATGAGATTGAAATGGATTTGAAATCCAAATTCGTCCAAATCCAATCAATTCCTGCAAAACAAACAGGAACTTAGAGTATCTCCAACATATTCTTTAAAATGAAAAAAATAAAGATTTTGAACATGTTTTTTGCTCAACAGATTCTCCAAAATAGAGAGAGTTTAGAAATCTCCAAATTTGGAAAACACCCATAAAAGAATACAATGAAAGAAGGGACATATTTGTTTTTATTATATTTTTTCACCAATAAGAAACTTTGAAAATAAATATTTAGAGAGATAAATAATATTAACTTGCTTGTACTTTTTATGTTATGCATATGGTGGTTAGACTTTCTTTATGGTACTAGCGAGCAAAAACTCCCTGAAGTTAACGAACTTTGTTAACACAGTTAGCTAGCGACCAAAAACGAAACAAAGTAGCAACCACAACGATCAAATTATAATTGGTTTAAAATGTAAACTAGACTTGGTACTAGGTAACAAACATGAAAACCAAACGTATGATTTACTCCAGTTTTTTTTTTTTTTTTGATTAACCTGGATATCCAACTCGTTATGCGAGCCGACTAATCTCAGGGCGACCACCTGTTTTGCAGATAGACCGGAGTCACCGCATTTGAACCTCCGTGGCCACAAGGGAATTTTTATTCCTCTTTGGATTTTAACTTGGGACCTCCTGATACTTTTGACCTTTGGAGCCAAATTCAAACCAATCAGACACCACCCTTGTGGTTATTTACTCTGGTTTTTATAAGATATAAAAATCAAAGCCTTCAAAAAGTTATCTCATTCCACTCCAAGGGTAGAATTCCCAACAATTTTTCCAGTTTAGAGTTCTATCATTGACGATATTAACAATAATTTATGGATTTGGTCCATGAGATGTTATTTTCAACGAAATTGATCCTTAATATTATTAATAAAAAAAATTGCATCTAAAACATGCAAAATCTACTGGTTTTGGTTACTCTCACTAACGAAAGTTAAATTCTTCTGTTAATCTATTTAAATGAGGGGTATTTAGGTCAATTTACATGTAGTGACTATTTGAATTTTATTCAGCAAAAAACTACGATGCTTTTATCTCTTTCTTTGCCCCATCCCCTTCCTCACTGTGAACCCCACGTTTCCACTAACCACTTGCGACCTCCCGTCTCCCACACCTGCAATTGCGCTACAATTGCACTGTTGAATGATACGAGCTGCAAAGCAATTTTGTGGTCATCAACTTCAACGTATTTGTTATGAGTTGTTTGTTGGTAGAGTTGTTTTTTAGCATGATAAATGTGTGATTTTGAATAAGGTCTCGAAAAAATTGGGGACCAAATTTGCATTTTTACGGCTTTTTATCAATGAATGTCAGCCCCCCGACCCTTATGTTGGGCGAGATGGACGGTGCCTTAAATATGTATAGTAGGGGCGTCAATTTTACATCAAGACAAAACAACCAATTCTCGTACCAATTTAATCAGTATCAATCTTATTGGTTGGTAGTACCGTACCAACTATGGTATGTGGTATTAGAAATAGTGCACCATGATAATAACATATTATACCGACTTTTTTTTGTAATAATTAACATTTAATTAATAATACAACATTTTTGGATTTTAAAATTTTAAGTTATCTTGTTTTAAATGTTACTAAATTATGATACGGATGAATATATAGAATTTGATTGAATTGATTCACCTCATCCTACTAATCTTAGTAACTAGTCCACATTCCCATGTTGTATTGCTGGTAGAGTGCTTATAAGTTGAGTTGATTGGGTTGAAGACATTTGAACAACCCAACCCAATGCTTGCGGTTTGGAAAATCTTAACCCAACTCAACACAAACCAAAGTGCAATCCAACCCAAACCGTACGGGTTGGTCGGGTTGATACTTTGGTACATTAAAATATTATTCTAACATTGAATATGTTATTTCTCTACTTATAATTTTCTTTTTATCATCAACAATTTGATACAACTTATCCATACTTCTTACGTACATCACATTCCGTTAATTTTCTCAATTTACATATATATGTTCACAACTACTGAACATATATACAAGTGAGTTATATAGAGATATGAATATATTGAAAATATGTGTATATAAAAAGCGTACATAATAGTGTAATTGTCTAATGTATATATAAATAGGGGAAAATTGCACCAAAATGGAACCAACTTTCACATGATTCCTATTTTGGGGAACGAACTTTCAAAATCGTCATTTTGGGGAACCAACTTTCACCTGATTCCTATTTTGGGGAACCAACTTTCAAAATCGTCATTTTGGGGAACCAACTTGCACCTAATTCCTATTTTGGGGAACCAACTTGAAAAATAATTATAGAAAAATGGGAAAATTACACCAAAATGGAACCAACTTTCACCTGATTCCTATTTTGGGGAACCAACTTTTAAAATCGTCATTTAGGGGTTTCTATCGAACTTTTTGTTTATTTAAGGGTCTGATTGATCTGTTGAACATGTAACAGATAATTTAAGGGTCTCTATCAAACTTTTGGTTGGATTTGCCAAATTTGATTTAAACTTTAATATTGACACAGATTGATTAGATATAAAAATCTTGAATGTGATATTTAATATTTATTTTTTATTGCATCAATTAATTTTTTTCTATTAAATTGATTTTTTATTGCATTCTTAAAAAACAATTTTTATCGTGGTAATTTGGATTTTTTTCGAAAAATCTTCAATTTGATATCTGAATTTAAAAAACCGAGATTTGAAATGAAAAATAGATTTTATTGCATTAATTTTTGAAAAGAAATGAATTTTTAGTTATTTTTCTATAATTATTTTGCAAGTTGGTTTCCCAAAATAGGAATCAGATGCAAGTTGGTTTCCCAAAATGACGATTTTGAAAGTTGGTTCCCCAAAATAGGAATCAGGTCCAAGTTGGTTCCCCAAAATGACGATTTTGAAAGTTGGTTCCCCAAAATAGGAATCAGGTCCAAGTTGGTTCCCCAAAATGACGATTTTAAAAGTTGGTTCCCCAAAATAGGAATCAGGTGAAAATTGGTTCCCCAAAATAAAAATCAAGTGAAAGTTGGTTCCCCAAAATGACGATTTTAAAAGTTGGTTCCCCAAAATAGGAATCAGGTGAAAGTTGGTTCCATTTTGGTGCAATTTTCCCTATAAATAGAAATTCAACAATCATATTAAACCCAATAAATAAAAGGATATCAGTTTCATCAGGTTGAGTTGTATTCAAATAATAGTATCTCAATATCAACCCAACACCTACGGTTTAAAATTTTTATAACTTAATTAGACATCTGCTAGACCGTTTGTATTAGATTATTATAGGATTGTATTGTACAAGACAAAAGAGTACATTATCCATGTTTGGTGTGATTATACGTGGAAGTTGGAACAGACAGAACTAAGGGCTGATGTACAATTATACCCCTCAATCTAATACAAGCCGGCCTTCTCATTCACGCTGATCGCCTCCTTCATACTGAAATCGATTCACGCTTCTGCTCTGAAATCGAAAATTGGTCTCAAGTGTGCTAATCGATTTCTCTAACAGAAGACGATCGACTCTTCGACTGTGTGCTGATCGATTTCATCAGACACGCCTCCCTCCTCAGGTAACCGATTCGTCCTCTAGAATCACTGTTTTCTCTCTAAACCCTAGATCTCTGTCTTTTGATTTTTGTTTCTGATTTTTGATTTCTGTCTACATTGATCGATCTCATCTTTCTCATAGCATAAATTGATCTATGTTAGCAAGCAAAACTGGATAGCATTTTTGTTAGCCATGAACTGAAGCTCCCTATTGCTTTCTGGATAGCATAAGTTGATCTCTGTGATTGATTCTATTGCTCCCTTCATCTAAATAAACTTGAGGTTTAAGTCTCCGAGAACTGTTATGAGTATTTTGCTCAAAAGGATGCAATTTGAACTGAACACATTGGTTTACTGAAATTGATTGATTATTGTGAACAATTTGTTTGTTTTTTTTGAAATCGAAGGTGATGTTCCCATCATAGTGGTGAGATTGATTACCTTCGATTTTCTTTATCAAGATCAAATTTTCTTTCTTCCTTCACCACTGTGATTTCTTTTTCAACTAAGAATGTGTATTGCTACTGCTTATCTTGCAAACTATGATTTAGAACACATACTTGCTCATTTTGTGTTTTTGTCAATTTTCATTTAGATTGACTATTTGGTAAAAAAACACCGAACAGTTCACTAGGGGTAAATTGGTTAACTGGTCCTGTCCTGTGCGGTCTGTGTCTCACCAAACTCTGAACAACTGTTCTGTTATGTCTTGTTCTGTCTGCTTACCAAACATACCGTTAGTGAATTCTTGTATTATATGCAGATTATTTGAGTGCTTGTATATGTAGAGATAAGTGGTACAACACACATCAACATGTTATATGAATACTCGATAGTTCTAGTGCATCTAAATCTAGTTGGTAAAGATGTCAATTTAAATAAATTTCTAACATCAACTTTTGCGATGTTGGTACAATACCGTATCAAGATGTACCAACTGAAAAAAGTTGGTACCAATTTAGTTGGTATCAAGGATAGTTGGTTGGTACATGGTATAAAATTTTGCGTACCAAGTATAATTGGTTGATACGTGGTATATGGAAAATAAACATGGTACCGTACTTCGTACCATGTTCACCCCTGTGTTCTAGTAGGCTTAGACGCTCAGCTTTTCAACCTTTTCTAAGAAAATCAACCCAATATTTTCTTGATCTGCCTCTCGGCCATATACTCAAGCTCTTGCTCTCAGAAAATTAATCTAGACGACTCACTTCTGTCTTCTCCCCCTTCATGCATGCACGACCTCTGCGGCTTCTGCCCTTTCAAGCCATCACGCACGAACGTAAGAGAATGGCGCTGCCGCTACCTGTGGGCTATGTGGTGACCATTTCTATGGTTTAGACTTTTGCTGTCACTACACTTCTTCTAGGTGTGTTCTTTTTAATTTTCTATGAATCTTGATGTTTTCTTTTTAGTCTTTTTGATGTTTATTTGATTCTGGGTTTCTTGATTTGCTTATTAGTCTTTTTGATGTTCATTTGTTTCTAGGTTTCTTGGTTTGCTTATTAGGTTATTTGTTTATCTGGTTTAGGGTTTAGGTTATTTGCTTAATGCTTATTATTAGGTTATTTGTTTATCTGTTTATAATAAGCATATGATAAGCAGATTAGACGTAGTCCTGGTTCTCTTGGACACAAAAAATCCACCCTCTAGGTGCTTTTCTGTCTGATTTTGCTGATTTGCTCCAGCCTCCAGGCGTTTTTCCTTCTTATCTAGTATTTACTTATCTAATATGTTGATGTTTTGATGATTTTCTTGATTTCTTGAATCTTGGTTATTTGCATATTTGGTGATTTTTCTTGATTTCTCTGGATGTTTTAGCATGCAACACATTACTCTTGTCTTATTTCTAAAATGTGTTTCTTTCTATTGCGCTCATGTCAAGGTCACACAAGAAAGCTCTATACAACTTTAACCTCAATTCATCATCCAAAATGACTTCTATGTTCCTCTACTTGTTTTAATATTCTATCTGTGAGTCAGGTTTGCAAATATTTTTCATGTATCATTCCTTCTACTGGTCTACAGGTTCTAGGTTAATAAGGAGTTAGCCATATTGTCTCTCTTCCCAAAAAAAACCTTTCGCCTGCTAAAATATCAAGAGAAACCATGTGTGTATGCATACACAGTGGCTTTCTCATTATTTTAATTAATTATATCTATATACATGACACATCATTGGGCCATATATGTTATCAGACAATCCGAGAGAGTATAGCCAAAAATTTCAGTTTGTTTAGTGCTTTGGTTTATGTCCCCCTTTGTAACCTTTTTCTCCCAATAGAAATCGGCGTGGGAATGAACCATCTAGCTTGGTTCTAAACCCCTTAAAAAATTTGTGTGCTTTTTGTTTATTGGATTAGAGGCATATTTTTTGCTCTCAGTCCAAGGCCATCCAAAACCGTTGGACCGCCCCTGATGAATGTAAAACCACCTCAATATCTCTCTAATTTCTATCAGAAGACAAGTAACGTGCGCCATCATCGCCCCTGTAATTTATATATATATATATATATATATATATATATATCTTTGTTATCTTATTTTGCAGTGTAATAAAAACATTTAAGTGTAACAAGGCTTCCAAAAAATTGGAACATATTGTTTGTCGGTTAACAACTTTGAAAGTTATCTTATTTTCTCTGAAGTAGTTCAAAATGTATTCTCATTGTTTAACTTTTTATTTACCAAGGCATAAGTTAATAACTTGTTAATTTATCTATAAGATAATTTTTTTGATTAAATAATAAATGTAATATCAAACATACTTATGCACAAACTTTAAAACTTGTACGCTCAGTTTCTTTAATAATAAACATGTAAATGACTAAAATGCCTCTTTTGTTCGATGGACTCTCAGTTAGTGTGTTCTGTTTGTCGGTCAGCAACTTTGAAAGTTATCTTATTTTCTCTAGAGTAGTTCAAAATGTATTTTCATTGTTTAACTTTTTTTTTTACTAAACCAAAAACAAGTCATTTATGGATATTATTAGGGGTACTAAGGGTAGGTTGATAACCCACAGGAGAAGGCAAATTCAATTTGATTATTCCTTCTTATTTGCATAAATTAATAACTTGTTAATTTATCTATAAGATAATTCTTTTGATTAAATAATAAATGTAATATCAAACATACTTATGCATAAACTTTAAAACTTGTACACTCACTTTCTTTAACAATAACATGTAAATGACTAAAATACCTCTTGTTCAATGGACTCTCAGTTAGTGTGTTAGAGCAAAGGATTCGTTTCAGAGTCAAATGCATAATCTATGGACTATTTTTATACTTATTGAAGTACATGGACAATTTTTTCGATGAAACCACAGGGATCAAAAATGGATTTCACTCTGAAATTAATTATTAATTTATAGTTAAAAAATTACGGTTTTGGGAAAAGAGATAATACGTAATTGTCTGATAGGAGCAGTTGGAGATGGATGATTAAGGTAGTAGACCGGGTATGAGAACCTATAGCTAGCGTAGTTTGCTAGAAAAACGTTGGACATGTTCGCTGGGGGTAAAGGGTAGGTAGTTTAGGCAGGGATGTATTTCTGTCTTACTTGCGTTGTGTGGGTTTTGCCTAGGGGTGCACGAAAAATCCAAAAACCCGCTAAAAAATCCAACCCATGTTAACTCTCCAACCCATGTTAACTCGTACCTAACTCGCACATAAGCCGCAACTATTGGATTGAGTTATTCAAATGTTTTCAAACCGGTCAACCTGACCGGATAATAACACTCATCTCCAATCCTTCTCTAAGATGTTGTCCATGTCTGACACCAAGGACTCGTGTTGATGATGTTTGCTTCCATAAAAAGCCTCGTTTTGGATGGGGTGAGAGATTGGTCAAGTATGAGAAAAAAAGGTTGACCCAATGACATTATTGACAACGAGATCAAAGTCGGAATTTTCACTCATCTTTTAAACCGTATTACATCTGTATGTAAAATTGTTTGATATCCATACCATCAAATTTGTAGTGACAAATAAATAGCAATTCTGCGGGACTTATTTGATATTTTGCTATTAACAGGTGAGTTAACAATATTATAGGCAGAGAGTTCCAATGGCTGCTTCAGAAGAGAACAGTGCACTCTTCCCGATCTTCATTTTAACGATGATTGCACTGCCACTTGTACCATATACAATTATGCAGCTTTGCCGTGCTGCCTCAAAAAAAGCAAAGAGCATTAACTGTCAATGTTCAGTTTGCTCCCGGTCAGGAAAATACCGCAAATCAATATTTAAAAAGGCAATCGTCTTCTTTTGAGATCTTGTTATACTTTTTGTGGGTAATACACAAAAAACATGCATTTTTCTGAACTTCCAATCCTATTCACAGATCTCAAACTTCTCAACATGGAGTAACTTGACATTGGTGTTGTTATGGGTCATCATGGGTGTCCTTGTGTACTATATCAAGAATATAAATCGGGAAGTAAGTAATTTAGTTCTATAATTACGTTGGCCATATTTATACTGTGTAAATCCTTGCTTATCTTCTATTCAAGAATCTTGTAATTGGGTGTTTCATCTGACGGAACTGTTTTTGCTTCAATAAGATTCAAGTATTTGAACCATTCAGTATTCTTGGAGTACAACCTGGAGCTTCTGACTCTGAAATAAAGAAGGCATATAGGAGACTCTCTGTTCAATACCATCCTGATAAAAACCCAGATCCAGGTTGATGTTCTCAAGTTCTATTCTTGAGTTCACATTGCTGTCATAACTTTTGTCTGCACTAACCTTCCAAGTGTTTACTGATGATTAATGTATTTCTTTTGCTTTGATACAGATGCCCACAAGTATTTTGTGGAGTCCATTGCTAAGGCATATCAGGCACTTACAGATCCAATTTCCCGTGAAAATTTTGAAAAGTATGGTCACCCAGATGGCCGGCAGGTAGGGTTTTTATCTGGAATCAATCTCATTAAGTTTACCATCTTAAAACATTCTGGTATCTGGTGTCTGTCATCTGTGTGATTATCACATTGTGTTTTGATGTAGGGGTTTCAAATGGGAATAGCTCTTCCTCAGTTTCTGCTCAACATAGATGGTGCATCTGGTGGGATACTATTACTATGGATTGTTGGGGTTTGTATTCTACTTCCGTTGGTGGTGGCTGTTGCATATCTATCTAGATCGTCAAAGTACACGGGAAATTATGTCATGCATCAAACACTATCTGCTTACTATTACTTCATGAAACCCTCCTTGGCCCCGAGGTATGGTTCACAAAGTGACTATAATGATAGTGTCGCTCTTCTCATCAAAAGAATATATACTCTTGAAGTGCATTAGACAGATAGATACCAACTTATTTCCGGTATTGATATTTGTGTCTCGGAAATGTCATTGTTTAACATAGAACACTCTGCTTACTAAAACTGCAACATCTATCTACATTAATGTTCTAGGAATTGTCAAAATGGAAGCTAAGCTCTGAAATTACGTTATTTTGTTTGTTTAACCTCTTGTCCTCCCTTCTTTTGTCTCTTGGGTAAGTATGTTGCTATTCTAACCTCAATTTATATTTCTGCCTTGATTTTACAGCAAAATTATGGATGTTCTCATTAAGGCTGCTGAGTACATGGAGATTCCGGTTCGTAGGACTGATGGAGAACCCCTTCAGAAACTATTTATGTTGGTCAGAAGCGAGTTGAACTTGGATCTGAAAAATATAAAACAAGAGCAGGCAAAGTTTTGGAAGCAGCACCCGGCACTAGTAAAGGTAAAGTCTTGATGGAACTTAGAAATAAGGGGAAGTTTTGGAGTATGTGACATTTTGTTTTTTACACCATCCATATTGGGCTCAACTTTCTTTTGCATTGTTTTCAGACTGAGTTGTTGATTCAATCTCACTTAACTCGTCAAACGGCAACCTTAACTCCAGAATTACAGCATGACTTCAAGCGTGTGGTGGAGCTTGCACCTCGCCTTCTTGACGAGCTGATGAAGGTATTTCTCAATCATTGTTATAAAAATTCAGCTCATTTTACCCCAAATATTCAGTTATTTCTCTTTAGCTGGAGAATGGGATTAAATTATCTTTGTTTAGCAGTCTGTTGGATCTATTGACCGTCAAACATCAGAGAACCATCTGTTCTTGATACCACATGAATAATTTTAATAGAGCATGTGTGTGCATATTCGTAGGTGCAGTCATACACACACATATATATACACACAGCATACACACGTGTGTCGGTCTGTGTGTTTGTGCTCAATGTTATGTGAAAGTAGGTCTCGTTTTTTTTTTTCATTTGCATGCTTAGAATTAAACATTTGAAACTTGGTTGAAGCTTCATTAGTTTTCCTTGGATTGTATCCCTTAATTATTAATAGAATCATCTAATGGTCTTACATTGGCTTAATAGAAGAGTCTGATGAAAACGTAAATCACTTTTGATCAATGTATCCATCTCTTCTTACAAGTCACCAAGTCACATCTTCTTGGTGGTTCATTTATGACTGTTGGTTCCTCATTTATTTCTTTTCAGTTAATGCAGCACATCCTCTCCTGTATATCCTCATCTATGCTCCCCCAATCCTTGTGGTAGTGCTAATTGTTTGATCTGCTGTGGCCCATTAGAAATCTAATTTCTTGTGACGATACAATCTTACTTTCAAATGCATTTGCTACAGTGCTTCTTTTCTTATTATAAGAAAATGATGCTTCAGTAGGCTATTCATGCAACTAGTTACAAAAACAAAAGACTCTAGGCTTTCACTATAGACAAGCAAACAGTGCCATTTGAATTTTGTAGTGGCTCTTGTACTGAACTACTTGACAGCTTTTTTTTGATGTTACTGTACACAGATGGCAGTCATACCACGCACGGCTCAAGGGCATGGCTGGCTGAGGCCTGCAGTCGGAGTTGTTGAGCTTTCCCAGTGTATCATCCAGGTAATGTAATCAGCTCTTAATTTTATGTATTTTGCTGGATAATGGTCTAATTACAAATATAGCTGCCTACCTTAGCCGCTCTACTCTTTGGTGTGGAGGTCAGATTTGCATACATCTTACCCTCTCGATACCCTACCTTCGGGTGGGATATATTGTGTTTGTTCGGTTTGCTTTGGTTTTAGCCACCTACCTATTGTCCTGAATATCGTCCATGTGGCTTGTAATATCTTATCTAATTTCTTGTGCCAATTTGTAATACTTATTTGTTATTTGTGCACTTAATGCAGGCTGTTCCTCTTAGTGCAAGGAAAGCTACCGGAGGATATGCAGAAGGTATTGCACCTTTTCTGCAGCTTCCTCATTTTAACGAGGCCGTGATGAAAAAGATAGCCCGCAAGGTAAAAGATTTTATATCACTGTTTCTTTTCTCCACCTATACGCACATAGGACCCCGCTCTATGACAAGTGTTGGTTATACATCATTTGGAGCCAACTGATCTATGATTGCCAGATGGCAAATGGGCAACGAGGATTCAACATCTATAGCCGATCTGCTCGTTACATGATTAGATGGAGTGCAGGTGTTTCAGCTATAGGATAGTTTGATTGATGATCTCAGATGCACATGCACGATTGATGTTCTGTATCAGAATCCGGTTCCAGCACCACATAGGGACCTGACACACTCTTTCGCCCCCGTTCCTGGAGGCACCATCTAGACGAAGACTATCGAAATTGTATATATATAAAGACTCGTTTTGAAGAGGAATCTAATCGGGTTCCACATATTCTCACAATTTGAATTTGTCTCTGCAGAAGGTGAGAACCCTTCAGGAGCTCCGCGACATGCCAATTGAGGACCGCGCCGAGTTGCTTTCTCAAGCTGCTGGTTTCTCCGAGTCACAAGTTCAAGATGTAGAGTCGGTACTCGACATGATGCCTTCCATAACGGTTGAAGTCAGTTGTGGGACTGAAGGTGAAGAGGGTATACAAGAAGGTGACATAGTCACGGTTCAAGCCTGGGTGGGCCTGCAACGAAGCAACGGCTTGGTCCGTGCTCTTCCCCACGCCCCATTCTACCCTTTCCACAAGGAAGAAAACTGCTGGTTCCTTCTTGCGGACCAGAACTCAAACAACGTCTGGTTTTCCCAAAAAGTAAGCTTCATGGACGAAGCATCCGCTGTCACCGCGGCTTCGAAAGCCATCGAGGAAACAATGGAAGGGTCAGGGGCAAACGCGAAGGAAACCAGTAAAGCGGTAAGAGAAGCGGTGGAGAAAGTGAAGAGCGGCTCGCGGCTCGTGATGGGGAAGTTCCAAGCCCCAGCTGAAGGGAACTACAATTTGAGTTGTTATTTGCTGTGTGATTCTTGGTTGGGTTGTGACAAGAAGAGCGGGGTGAAGGTGAAAGTGGTGAAACGGACTCGGGCAGGAACCCGTGGGGGGTTCACGGAGGAAGGACCGGTGGTGGAAGATGGAGCCGAAGAGGAGGAGGAGATTGAAGAGGAGGAATACGATGAGGATTACGAGAGCGAGTACAGTGAAGATGAAGAAGATAATAATACCAAAAGAGAGAGCCGTGCGAATGGCAAAGCACCTGCACCTGCACCTGCACCTGCATCTGCGTCAAGTTCGGGTTCCGGGTCGGATGATGAATGAGGAGGAGAATACTTGACGTCTTTTAGGTAGGATTATTTTCAAATTTTGGTTTGTAAACTAGGGTTTTTTAGACCCAAAATAACAGTTTGGTTCTTACAGATTGCATTTTTCAAAGAAAAATCCTACTCAACCCATCACTTAAATCATTCAATAATTGGGTTTTTTGGGATGAAAAAAAATTCTAGACTTTTATAATTTACCAATCTTGTTTTATCTTTTTTAGTTTTTGTTTCATTTATTTTGATAAAACAAAAAGAATGCATTTTTGTCTCGTTCAGATTTATTCATCCTAATGTCATGTCAAACAAGTTTTTTATATCGTTATCTCCATGTTAACTTTTCACAGGTGAGATGAAAACTCATGTCCTGATTCTTTAGAATTACTCATCCTCGTAGAAAAAGGTTAATTTTAGGTTTAAAGCTAAGAGATGAAGTTTTCAGTCAATCTTGTGGCGGGTGCTACTGCCATTAACTCGGTTTGATTCATCAGGTTGCTTGGAACAAGCAATGTATGTTAGCGTTTTGTGAAATAAAATTGATGGATGGATTGATTGATTATGAATCCAAATAAATGGATTGATTATGATTTTAATCTATGTGGTTTTTGATCAGGTAAAATACCAAAACTCGAAAAAAGAATGCCTCTTAATCCTATGGATCCTTAGTATTGGGGATATTCTCTTAAATGCTATAGTTTCCCTGGATATAGACAGGTATCACAACTCTTTCATTTAACGCCTGTTAAAGGGAGCGACCAAATCTTGACGGTTTTACAAATCATGATAGTCATCTTGTAATTTCAAAACTGTAAGAACGTAAATTCTGGATTTAATTTTTATGATATCAACATCTTTTTATAAAATATAAATTTGAAGATACAATAAAAGTTTAAAAAAAATATTAATATTAGTATCAAATTAACAATTTAAAGGTTATCGTTTTTTTATAGAATTTGTTTAATTCAATTTTTTATTTTACTCTAATTTAGGTTTAATAATGTAATTTTTTACAAAAATAATAATTAAGAATTTTATTAAACTCAATGATTTCCTTAATTATATTTTAAATTATTTATATTTAAAATGAGATGTTTATCTTGTATCTGATTATATTTATCAATTACTTATATGAATTCAAACATTTGATTTTAAAAAATTATAATTATGCACCAATTACTTATAATCTTAAATGTTAAATAATATATATCAACAAACAATATTTAATGTATAAAAATGATTTTTAAAATTTTATATAAAATATTTTATATAAAAATAGTCTAGATAAGTTTGTATCTTATAAACGAAATATTAAAAAAAATTAATTAATAATGTATAGAGAAAGTACCCTTTTAAGCCGATGTCAATCAAACACTTCCCTTTTCAGGAGATGTACAACTTTTGCTTCTTTTAAGTTTCCTTTTCAGGTAAAAGTACAACCTATGTCAGCACGTTTTTTCATTGGAAAATTGGTCAAAATAATCACACAAATTGATTTGTTAGTTTGATATCTTTGATTTATCCGAATATCACTGTTTCCGTCATTTGCACACCTAGCTAAATAAGAAAGAACCATAATTTTTTTAAACCCAACTTAATATATTAAATCTGTTTTTTGGATTAATGTAGACAGATCTGCAGATATATATCAGATAAATTGCACAATAATTTAAAAATATTTAATACTTAACTCATTTTAAAGATCCCCACAAGATATTTCTAATGGAGTAATTTACAAAATAAATTACATATTTTTAATTAAAATCACCATTAATTAATTAATTAATTAATATAATAAGAGTATAAAATTAAAAAGATACTAAAGACAAACCACAGTAATGAAAATCACAATTGACTTCATAATCTAATAAAATAAAAAAGAAAAAAATAGGTGAAAGGATTAAAATACCCTTTAAGTTAACTAACCTTTTTAACTAAAGTTAAACAGAGTTCCATGTTGTCGAAGAAAACGCTTCCTTGGCAAGGAATGATCTGTTGTTCCGTAAAAGATGAGCTCATGAGCCAGACACCCACGGTTACTAGAAAAAAAACTGTGATTTTCTTGACTGTTATCTTCAAGGTCTCACAAGATCACTCGAGATGTATACAATCTGACCTGAACACTCGGTTTACCAAAATTATTTCAGTATTAGGAATTTTAACTGAAAAAAGTTCACATTTAAAGTTTCTTTGGGCATAATATAAACACAAAAAGGGCAGTAAAAAGTTGGTGTAGTTTTATCTCGCGGTAGAGACCAAGCAAGTGTCGTGGAATACGAATGGGCAGGTATCGGAACTGCAAACCAACAACGGATCACCGCCACCTTGCTCACATTTCATGCAAAGATTTGCTTCTTTCCAGTATGTCATCGAAGAAGAACGGTTTCCCCTACCCATGCATACATAATTCAAGAAATCTTGTTTCTTGGTGGCAATATAACTTCTCTCTTTCTGATGCTCATCAGTAGCAGCATGATAAAAGATTGGTCCTTTTTGCCCCTCAACCTCATAATTGGCTCCTAATTTATCTTAGGACAAAATGCATAAAATAACAATCTATTTTCATAAATTTCTTTATTATAGCATTGTACTTTCAGTTTTCTTATTACAACAATGTACTTTCAAATTATTTTTTATTAGGACATTGTACTTTGAAAAATTTATCCATTATAGCATTGGGTAACCTTTTGATTTAAATTTACCCATTATACTAGGTTTCCATGCCACCT